ATCAATTTTTGATTCGATTTAATATCCAAGGTGTGGCTTAGGAGCCAAATAGCTCTCTATAGTGCAAGTGAGCAAATCAGCTTTAGAAGTTGGCAACACCAGTCTTTTACCGAGTGAAAAGCAAGGTGAGATCATCAAGTAATTTAACTTTATCAACAAGTTTACATTCGAACAGTTTATTAACTTTTTGCACTTCCATTAGAATAGGTTATAAAAAGAGAATGAATGACACATTTTTTTTCATCACTGTACATTCCATATAGTATTTTAGCTGTGTAGCACTGTTCACTTTGTCTTGTAATTTCAAAGTGTGTCTTCAACTTCAGCCATTGCTTCATAATTCTTTCAACAGCTGGTTAAATTGATAACCATCTAGTTTTGCAATCTGACAGAATTTTCGGTGGTGTGGAACCATTATTCAAGGCTGTATATAATGTACTGTATTGCTGTTGTCTGACAAATGATTTGGAAAACCAGTAAAGTGTTTCAGCAATAAGGTATTCCAAATTCCTTGGTAAATATTTAGATGCAGCATGTGATAATGCTAGCTGCAATGAATGACGCATACATTTTATAAGTATTAACGATGAGTTAGCTTCCTTCAACTTTGCATAAACGCCATTGTTTATACCAACCATCACTGAGGCATCATCAGTACCAATTACAGCCAAATTCTTCAAGCCTAACTGTTTGCTGATTAAAAGGTCCTTCAGTTCCTAAACTATACTTTCTACATCACACTTTTCAAATTGAACTAGTCCAAGGTTTTTTACAAATCGATCAAATGGTCACAGTTTGAAATTGCGCAGTGACATATTAAAAACATTGCGACTGATACTTCAACTTTTGATGATTCATTTATCAGTATAGTTCTGAAAACAGATGTCAGCGGTGTAATATCTTTAAATGAAACTGCAGTTTTATGCTTTTTTAGTCTCTGCATGACTCTTTGAGTTTTGTATTTTCGCTTTAATTTCACACTTGCAGTACTTACAACAAGCTTTGGTCATATCCCCAGTTTTTAATTTTGTCATCATACAACCACTCTTTCCAAATGTTTTGCTCATACTTTACTTTTGGCATGTTAAAAGGTTTTTTCAAAGTGAAAGCCACATAAGAAGGTGAGCAATTATTTTTTTTTTTTAAATCACATGAGAAAGAAAGTCAGAACAGTGAGGATACGGTTGAAACAAAGTTAGTATGATTTACGAGCGTTTTTATTAATCAGTACCAGGGCTGCCAGATATTTGTGCGTTGACCCCAGTGAGAGTTCAAAGTTCAAGTAATGGCAGTTGTCACAATGTACGTGCCAGACCAAAACAAAAATATTGTAGTAAATATTTTACACAGTAATTATTAAATTGAAAATGAAAGAAAAAAAATCTAAAAAATATCTCACTTTGTGTGAAAAGAATCTAGAAAAATACTTACGATCTAAACGTCAAAAACAGTATCTAAATGCAATGAAAAAGATCTAAATTTGGATATAAAAGATCCAAAGTGGCAACACTGGATAAAAGGAGAAAGAGAGAGAGAGAGAGAGTGAGAGAGAGGGAGAGAGAGAGAGAGAGTGAGAGAGTAAGAGAGAGAGAGGAAGAGAGAGAGAGAGAGAGAGAAAGATAAGAGGGTTGCTAGTTATTAAGAGCTTTCAAAACTGTGTCGCGACACACCTGTGTGCCAGCTTCCCCGTGTGGGTTCCGGTGCCCTATTATGGGGTGGGGGGGGGGGGAATAGATTAACTGTCTACCTTAAAGTCGACTAAGTGGGGGTTTTCTTCGAAGTCTATGTGCATCTGCCTGAGAGGCAAGGAACCAACAGTATGCATACAAATGAGTCAGATGTGTAAAACGGATGCGCACGCAACATTCAGGTTTTGGAACCGGACTGTAGTCCAGAAGTGGACGAATGGACGAACAACCGAAACTATCCGCCCGATTTTGCACCTGGTGAACGCAAAGAAGAAAAAGTGCAGTGTGAAGGTGTGTCCCGATAACGTAAAGCGTTGTATGCGTCGGTATCTCTCTTAAATCGGCATCCCAGACGGTATCGGCGACCTCGCGGCTGATTGGATGGCCAGAAGGCCGCTTTGTCGCCAGTCGAAAAGTCTTTTTTTATCGAACCAGCACTGTTAGAATCATTTTATCCCCGCGTGAGTCCGGGGTCCATTGTAGAGAAAACAAGCATGTCGTAGGAGTCGACTAACTGGGGACTTCCTTCGAAGTCGGAGTGCATCTGCTCGAGCAGCAAGGAACAATCAACTGCACACAAATAAGCCAGTAAAATGGATATGCACACAAAACTCAGGCCCTGGCAGAAGTCTAAATAGACGAACAACCAGGACTTTCAGGCGGTAATTTACAGCCGGTGATCAAAGAAGAAGTAGAAGAAGAAGAAGAAAAAGAAGAAGAAGAAGAGGAAGAAAGAAAAAGAAGACGAAGAAGAAGAAGAAGAAGAATCTTTCAATATTCAATGATATGGCGCAAATGAATACAGACCACAACATACCCACAGTTCTAAACGGCGATGGGGTTCCCTATTGGCTCGCCGGTAGAGGACTTCGCTATGGATCAGAATAATATTTATGTCTGTCTCTCTTGATCGCGTCAACACTGTCCGAGTCCTTTTCAGGGCTCTTGGTGGCGCGCAGTGCTAAGCCATTTTATATGGCACAGGTAACCTAGTCACAATTATAACCTAAAGCTTCCTTAAATTTCCCAATCGAGAGAGTCTGGCGCAACGTGAATCATGTTTTATTTTCACCCACAGATGGACAAACCCACAGAGAGCTACGACATGTGTGTTTGATCAGGCGGAAGTACAACATTAAATGTGTCCTTACAGGGACTAGTTCTTACTGGAAACTAAACCAAATTACCCCTATTGGACCGACAGTGTTTTCCTGCACCAAAAGCCGGGATGGACGTGGGCTTCTTTTTTTCTTTGTTGTTTTCGCTGCCAGTAGTTTTCAGATGAACAGGCTAGAGACTGGGCCGTATTCAGACATGATGAGGCCCTAAGATATAGAAAGCTATGATGCCTCTACCATTTTAAATTACACCACCTAATCTAAGAAGACTGTGAAATATCATATACAAGACTGTGAAAGGCTGTTAAATATATGCGGGATGGAATTATAGTGTTTAAAAAAAAAAAAAAAAAGGTTTCTAAGGACTCTGACGAAAAGCACCCCATACAAGATCAAGACGTACCCTATACAAGATCAAGAAGCACCCTATACAAGATCAAGAAGCACCCTATACAAGATCAAGAAGCACCCTATACAAGATCAAGAAGCACCCTATACAAGATCAAGAAGCACCCTATAGAAGATCAAGAAGAACCCTATACAAGATCAAGAAGCACACTATACAAGATCAAGAAGCACCCTATACAAGATCAAGAAGCACCCTATACAAGATCAAGAAGAACCCTATACAAGATCAAGAAGCACCCTATACAAGATCAAGAAGTACCCTATACAAGATCAAGAAGCACCCCATACAAGATCAAGAAGCACCCTATACAAGATCAAGAAGCACCCTATACAAGATTAAGACGTACCCTATACAAGATCAAGACGTACCGTATACAAGATCAAGAAGTACCCTATACAAGATCAAGAAGCACCCTATACAAGATCAAGAAGTACCCTATACAAGATCAAGAAGTACCCTATACAAGATCAAGAAGTACCCTATACAAGATCAAGAAGCACCCTATACAAGATCAAGAAGCACCCTATACAAGATCAAGAAGCACCCTATACAAGATCAAGAAGCACCCTAAACAAGATCAAGAAGCACCCTATACAAGATCAAGACGTACCCTATACAAGATCAAGAAGTACCCTATACAAGATCAAGAAGCACCCTATATAAGATCAAGAAGCACCCTATACAAGATCAAGAAGCACCCTATATAAGATCAAGAAGCACCCTATACAAGATCAAGAAGCACCCTATACAAGATCAAGAAGCACCCTATACAAGATCAAGAAGCACCCTATACAAGATCAAGAAGCACCCTATATAAGATCAAGAAGCACCCTATACAAGATCAAGAAGCACTCTATACAAGATCAAGAAGCACCCTATACAAGATCAAGAAGCACCCTATACAAGATCAAGAAGCACCCTATACAAGATCAAGAAGAACCCTATACAAGATCAAGAAGCACCCTATACAAGATCAAGAAGTACCCTATACAAGATCAAGAAGCACCCCATACAAGATCAAGAAGCACCCTATACAAGATCAAGAAGCACCCTATACAAGATTAAGACGTACCCTATACAAGATCAAGACGTACCGTATACAAGATTAAGAAGTACCCTATACAAGATCAAAGAACCCTATATACAAGATCAAGAAGTACCCTATACAAGATCAAGAAGTACCCTATACAAGATCAAGAAGTACCCTATACAAGATCAAGAAGCACCCTATACAAGATCAAGAAGCACCCTATACAAGATCAAGAAGCACCCTATACAAGATCAAGAAGCACCCTATACAAGATCAAGAAGCACCCTATACAAGATCAAGAAGCACCCTATACAAGATCAAGACGTACCCTATACAAGATCAAGAAGTACCCTATACAAGATCAAGAAGCACCCTATATAAGATCAAGAAGCACCCTATACAAGATCAAGAAGCACCCTATATAAGATCAAGAAGCACCCTATACAAGATCAAGAAGCACCCTATACAAGATCAAGAAGCACCCTATACAAGATCAAGAAGCACCCTATACAAGATCAAGAAGCACCCTATACAAGATCAAGAAGCACCCTTTACAAGATCAAGAAGCACCCTATACAAGATCAAGAAGCACCCTATACAAGATCAAGAAGCACCCTATACAAGATCAAGAAGTACCCCATACAAGATCAAGAAGTACCCTATACAAGATCAAGACGTACCCTATACAAGATCAACTACGCCTCGCCACGATAACATGTAAGTCAAGTTTCATGACAGACATCCCATGTACTCACATAACCATTCTTGTCCGTGATATTATTGGTCAGTTTGAGCTTCTGGAAACTGATGGCCTTCTGCATCCATTGTTCTCCAGTGCAGGGCGAGTCCGGATGGATGTACATCCTTCGGGGCATCTCGGGGTCCGCTTTTCCTGCTACTGCCCACTTCCCGTTGTGGAATTTGTATCTGGGTCAATAGAACATATACAACGTTAGTGATGATTTTTTTAGCTCAATCAATCAGTCAGCACAACCTAGTCGCGAAACAGATATCTAAGGTATTTTGAGAGAATGTCAAATGACAAAGAAGTGAAAACTGCATACACAAGGGAGATGAATGGTCGTGGACCACGAGGCAGACCAAGAAGACGATGGGGAGATAATGTGAGACAACAACACTTGGTGTCACTAACTGGAAAGAGAAGACCAATCAAAGAGATGAATGGGTGCCGGTGATATCTTCAGCAATGAAGCTCAAGGGTTCTAAATGCTAAAGAAGAAGAAGAAAGAAGAATGGATCAAGGTTCGTTACAGAACGTCGAAGTCGATGACCTGCCTGGCCCGGGTGGCTCAGAATCTTATAATTGGCTCAGTTAACAATAAAATAAACGTAGCAGCAACTTGTTTTAAATTTGTATTTCTCCTTCTTCTTCACTACTTCTTTTATTTTACGGCTGCCTTCTTCTTCTTTCGGAAGATCGTCGGTTCGCTCCCTGACGGAGCCGGACTTTTGTCAAAAATGACCTTGACTCCCAGGTCGACCCAGCCTTGAGTGGGTACCGGGTGCAGTCCCGGGAAGTAAAGGTGGTCGGCGTGATGCTGACCACATCACCGATATTGTTCCGATTGTTCTATAAAAATATAGGTCTAGCCCTATTTGCCCTATACGCCTAAAGGCGTGGAAAAGGGACCTTTACTTGCTTCTTCTTGTTTGTTTACCGGCTGTAAGCTCCGGCGGAAAGTCTTTGTTGTTCGTCCATTTAGACTTTGGCTTTGTACAAGGGCCTGCGTTTTGCGAATACATCCATTTTACTAACCTATTTACGTGCAGTTAGCTGTTCATTGCCACTCGGGCAGATGCACTTCTACTTCCAAGGAAGTCCCCAATAATAAGTCGACTTCTACCATATGCTTGTTGGGGAGGCAGTAAGTCTAGTCCTGTTGTCCCCACAGTGGGTTTCCGGAAGACATACGGGGATTGTACCGCTTCCATTGCCGAGGGAGATAAAAGGTTCTGCTACTGTTCCTAACTTCCAGGCTGAATTTGTGTCCTTTGCATATAAAGTTCGCTCGTACGTTCATTATTTCGAATTACTCAAAATTTTTAGTGTAATAAACGGTACTCTTGTTTTCTCTGTGTCGGTCTCCGCCGTCATCTAAATTACATCCAGGTTCACTTTGGTGGGAAACAGGAACATCCGTACAAGAACCACAGAACCCATTACCAGTGTTGCCACTTTGGATGTTTTACATCCAGATTGAGATGCTTTCCCTTGCATTTAGATGGCGTTTTTGACGTTTAGATGGTAGCTGTTTTTCTAGATGTTTTTCTTTTGGAGTAAATTTATCAAATCTAACCTAAGAAACAGGATGAAATTTGACCTCTTAAATCCCATCTTAACAATAAAATTTAGAATAGGAAAAGGCTGTTCCACTTATCAACTCCCTGATTGGGTATTGAAAGAAACTGGAACGGCTAAAGCATACCAGAGTCATTTTGGATCTGAAGCTTCAACTTCATCATCCAAGCTAAGTTTATCCTGTGGATCTTGTGAGGCAGACTTCAGTAAAGACGATGCCATGATTCTATAGGGTAAGTCATATCAATTGCTATGTAATTTGTGACTCTTTCTATTTTGATACTTTTTTTTAAAGATGTTTTCCACTCAAATTTAGATGCTTTTAGATATTTTCGACTCCGTTTTGGATGTTTTTTGTCAAAGAAAAGTGGCAACACTGCCCATTACTACTGGTCTTATAAGTGGGCTTCTTTTAATGAATCGACGCAAATAGTAGGAGTAGCTAACGTCCTTGCCTGAAAACTACTGTCAGCTACACCTGGCTAATTCCCCGTGTGGTTCTTGGGGCCCCTTCTTGGGGAAACAAAAATATAGACTACTGACTCCCAAACAAGCATGTCGTAAGAGTCGTGTAATTAGGGACCTTCTTTAAAAGTCGGAGTGCATCTGCCCAAGCGGCAAGGAACAATTAACTGCACATAAATTGTCAGTAAAACGGATGTGCATGCAAAACTCAGGCCCTGGCACAAAGTCAATGTCCAGATGAACGAACAACCAGGACTTTCCGCTATAGCTTTCAGCCGGTGAGCAAAGAAGAAGACCGGGTTGGTGTAGTTGTTATGGGTGCCCTTATTATAACTTATTTGGATGTTGAACAGGGTATGTGTGATGCCTTATTGATCTGCCGTCCTGATAAGTTATTTTGTAAACTCTCTTCATTTTATGGTAAACGTTTAGGTATCAGCGAGGATGGGGCAAATCGATTGGTCGATCGATCGAACAGCAGCCAGGTCGTCAAGAAACTTTTAAAAATGGGAGGAGGGGTGGAGGAGAGAGAGAGAAAGAACAAAGGGAGAGGAGGAGAATCAGACTCGAGTAAGAGTAGAGCAAGTGGTAGAGAGAAAGAGAGAGATAAAGAGAGATTGAAGGAGGCAGAGAATGAGAGAGAAACAAAGAAAGAAAAAAAAAGAGAGAGAAAGAGATTAAAAAAGAGAGAAAGAAACAGAGAGAGAGAGAGAGAGAGAGAGAGAGAGAGAGAGAGAGAGAGAGAGAGGGAGAGAGAGAGACAGAGAGAGAGAGAAAGTGAAAGAGAAAGAAAGAGAGAGAAAGAAAGAGAAACAGAGAGACAGATAAAAAGATAGAGAAAGACAGAAAGATCGAAGGAGGGGAAAGACAGAGATTGAAGGAAAAGAAAGAGAGAGAAACAGAGAGAGAATGAGAGAGCGAGAGAGTGAAAGAGAGAGAAAGAGAAAGAGAGGGCAAGTCGAAGTGATATAAGAAGGAATAAAAGATTAAAGGGAGGACGAGAGCGAGAGAAAGGAAGAAGGCCGATGTAACGATATGGAAACTTGGATGTTGAGGGAATGAGAGAAAGAGAGAAGGGCCCGGTGTTGGGCTGCCAGAAAAAGACTTACCTGCAATCATCCACTGGAACGACATCCATGAGCAGGATGTACTTTGCTTTCTTATCCATACCAGACACCTTGGCCTTGAACGATGGGAACATCCGCCTGTGGATATACACAGTTGTATGGATATTCATCATCTTAAGACAATGGTTCTCAACCTTCCTAATGCCAGGACTCTTTAATACACTACCCCACTTTGTAAAGGTAAAGGTAAAGAGATCTGAACCAGCGTCACTGCACACGGTTTATAAACCATAAGTGCTCTGCCATCAGTACGGACAGCTTGTCCGCCTGTGTCGCCGTTCGCACGTAACTCTGTGGCTACAGCGACATTCCTCCATTTACACCAGAGAGTCAACTCTAGTACCCATTTCCTAGAGGCTAGGTGAACCCCGGTAACAGCCCGGTTTCGAACACCTACCGTGGCTGCAGCGAGTCACAGCTGGATTTGAAAATGAGCCTCTTATCGACTGCGCTAACGCAACCCCGCGTTGTGGTGACCCCCAACCATAGAATTGTTTTCGTTTCTTCTTTATAACTTCAGTTGATATGTGTGTGTGTGTGTTTTTTTTTTCGATAGTCTTAGGCGATCACTGTGAAAGGGTCATTCGACTCCCAAAGGGGTCGCGGCCCACAAGTTGAGAACCGCTGGTCTAGAATATTTAATCCAACGGAAGTCGAGCCGCCGTAGCAGTGCGGTTAGAGGCTCTCCTTTCGGTACGAGACTTTCACTGTGGAAGAGTTTGGGGCCTCGCGAATTAATATTCCTAAAGACAACAGTGGGTTCAATATAGACAACGTTCATTGCAGTGACAGTTATCAACCTGCATCAAGAGCTTGCAATATTTGGGCAAACGTTTGACAGGGTAGATAACAAAATTTAAACGACCAACTGTGAGAACAGACAAAACCGACAGACTGACTGACTGATCGATTGACTGAGTGATAGAAAGGTAGAAAGAAAGTTGTTCAAAAATGTAGAATCAAAGAGAAAGAAAGAAAGAAAAAAAAGAAAGAAAGCAAGATAAGAATGGAAGCACGAAGGGCAACAATAAAGCAAGAAAGAACCAATGACAACAACAAAGAGAAAAGAGGTAAAAAAAGTAGAAATATAATAAGGCAGAAAAACTGACAAGAATAAAAAAAAAAAAGACAAAAAAAAAAAAAAAAAAAAAGTCAGGACCACACAACGAACGATCTACACCCGGTGACACAAAATGGCACAATTCGGATAAGAGTCCCAAATACCCAGTTCAGTCGTTGGGTTGTATTAGACCCACAGACGACAGCCGGGGTAGGGCTTTACAATAACAATAAATTGAGTCCCACTCTGGGACGAAGTTTGTAAATAAGAAAGAAAGATTAAAGGAAATGATTCCCAGCCAGACAGGCTTGGCACTATACTCTCAAAGCCTACATTTATGCCTAAGAAGAATAACTGGCATTAAGTAGCGGGAGAAGATCACAAACATGGAGGAGCAGGTTCTCTCAGTACTCAGTCAATAAGGGCTCAAGTGGCTGGGTCACACCTGGAGAGTCTCTAAGGAAATCCTCTATGGGGGAGTTAAAGATGGGTAGAAGATATCGAGTCGACTACGATATAAAGATGTCTGCAAGAGGGACATGAATTATACAGGTATTGTGGTGGACTCATAGGAACAAAATGCCATGGACCGTATTGTGTGAAGGGGGCACATCAGGTAGGGGGAACGGAAATGAGGAAAGAAACGACAGCAGACAGGATGAGAACTGAGCGTCTAAGAAGAAACACACTTAACACAAATGTTGAAACAACAGTCCTAAAATCCCATTCTATAATTGTGGAGGTGTTTTCTTAACGTACGTGGGTATTGCTAATCGCACTCGTCATCGCCAGAGGCTGTGAGTCCCATGCCTGCCCATAGCTCAGTATAACTCTATTGTCTGGAAAAACAGAAAGGTGCAATCTTTTTCTGAATATTTGTCAATTTTCCCAGAATGCAAAGTTCTTTACCAAACCATCTCTTGCCATCACTCCTTTGTCCAAACTGCCCGCTGTGGATGGACCGGTCTGACCAGTCTCATAACACCACCGTCTTCTACTTCGTTCACCCTCTTTCACCGATAAGCCACCGTATAATTCTCTCCCTTCGCCGCAAATTACCGAAAACGACCCAGAGTAGCCGAAACGCAAGATAAACGTGACAGACTTCATTGTTTTTACCGCCGCCATATTGCATTGTCATTCTGCCTCCGGCACTAATCCTATCATGGCCTGAAGACTTCAGCAATCAACGGAAGCCCATTGACTACAGCTTGTTTACCATATCAAATTTAACCCCACTAACCAGCCGGCTCTTCAGCATAATGACCATATTCAGTCCTAGTGGCAGATCTCTCAAGACGATTGTTCGGACGGACTTCTCTTCAGACCCTGATTATTAAGAGGTCGTATTTTAACATCAAATGTTGCAGATGTCGGCGCCAAGGATGTTTAAATAACCTGGTTATTTGTTAATTTTATTTGATGAATGCGATGTAAATAAGAAATATGGTAATGGCGGTTGCGGGTGGGTTAGTCTGTGGGGTCTTCAGACATGTCAAATAGGGACAATTATTCCGGTATTATCAGCAACAAAAATAGAAGATATCTGAAAAGTGAACAATAAAAGTAGAGGTGGAACCAGGAGTATACGAGGAACCGGTTTTCAGCATTATTTTTTAAGTTGTGAGTTTCCATTTGTTTTCGGTACCGTCATTCTTAGATGGGGTCGGTGGCTTAGGCGTTGCAAATACGCCTTGTAATGCCGGGGTGCTGGGTTCGATCCTAGCCGCGGGCCTTGCGTTGGTTTGGACAGCGATATCGAGAAGTCGACCGTCCAGTAAGCAATGACAAACTACTAGATGTAAATTTGCATAGTAAAACCACAAGCCAAAAAGTGCTGTGGTTGGTTCTGCAACGTCCTGTAAAGGATACGCAACTAACTGTAACCGTTTCAGACGTGAGTTACAAGTTCTTCTTTTTCTTTCATCCAGCTTCTATTTCGAGTTGAGGGTTAAACTGTCTTATTACCGGTTGATTTTTTTTTTTTTTTTTTGGTTCTCTCGTAATTTTGTTTTTGAGATATGAATTTTTTTCGTTTCATATTCCTGTAGATTATTTCAATAAGAAGTTTCTAGAATCTACTTTTGCTTTCCAGTAGTTTTAATCTTTAATTGTGCGTTTTCTTCCTCTTTCTTTTCTCACAAGCATCAGTCTAATGTAATGATTTCATATTCTTCTTTCATTTGTCTTCCCTCTTGAATTGTGAGCTAACTTTTTGTTTTTCCAGTCCTGAGTGAAGAATTTCTTCTCCTTTTTCTTCATCTCCGAAGAAGACAAAAATGAAGAAGGAAGATGATGATTATAAAATAATAATAATAATAATAAAAATAATAATAATAGTAATAATAATAATAATAATAATAATAATAATAATAATAATAATAATAATAATAATAATAATAATAATAATAATAATAATAATAATAATAATAATAATAATAATAATAATAATAATAATAATAATAATAATAATAATAATATAAATAATAATAATAATAATAATAATAAAATAATAATAATAATAATAATAATAATAATAATAATAGAAGAGGAAGAAATTAAAAGAGGATACAAAGAGGAAGGGCTTCATTAAAATGTGTATATGATAAATGCAACAGGTAGGCTATTATGGGTAGAGTCTGCTCAAGAACTAACAAAATATAAAACAAACATAATATACGATGGCACCGTTTCCCGAGAGATTTTGGCACCCGGTTCGGTTACGTATAGAAGAAACGTAAACGTTGTCTTTATAAAATTGGGAGCAGTCCGTGTAACTGTTACAAACTGTTTACAGTGGTGCTGTGTTTTATTATTTCGTTTCATTTGGTTACATACTTTTTACAGTTCTGTTGTGTATTATTATTTCGTTTCATTCGGTTACATACTTTTTACAGTTCTGTTGTGTATTATTATTTCGTTTCATTTGGTTACATACTTTTTACAGTTCTGTTGTGTATTATTATTTCGTTTCATTTGGTTACATACTTTTTACAGTTCTGTTGTGTTTTATTATTTCGTTTCATTTGGTTACATACTTTTTACAGTTCTGTTGTGTATTATTATTTCGTTTCATTTGGTTACATACTTTTTACAGTTCTGTTGTGTATTATTATTTCGTTTCATTTGGTTACATACTATTTGATGACAGTGAGACAGTCATTTCTGTTAATCATTTGTGTGTGTTTTAGTGTTCTGTCTTGTTTCTGGTCGTTGTTTTGCTGATAAAGGCTAATGGTCGCCACGTCCTGGGTTTATTTATTATTTGTGGTTTTTTTTTTTTAAGTTGACATAAACGTTATGTTTTTCCTACCACTTTCTATTTTGTCTTGTTCCTACCTTTTGCAATCCTTCTTAGATCTTGTCAGACGTAAAAATACTTTAGCTTTTAAAAGGTACAGTTTTAAAATTCTGTCCACTAACATATATTTTAAACTATGGTCTCTACTGAGGCTGATGGGAAAGTATAGCATTATCAGCTTATGTGAATATTCTGACTTCGCCTGTGGTTAGAAAATAATTCGTGATTTTTTTCTTTCAGGCGTCATTATCATGCATACCAGACTTAGAAATGTCACCCCTTAGGCTGCGATGATGACATCATGTATCAATAATGGAGTACCACCACTGAGCTAATTTGCCACCGGTTGACATTGCATTGAAAAAGGGCTAAATTATATTCATTAGGAGTTTCAGCATTCCTTGCGAAGCAATCCTGGCAACTTTTCTAATTGCGCGAAATGTATACCACCTTAACAAGCTGAGAAGGATATTATTGATTTACGTGATTTTTGCTGTTCTTGTAACTTTTCCTTTTGAATCTTATCTGCTGAGTTCCACAAAGTGAACTTTTCTTTATTGTTAATGCCCTCTTCTCATCGTGCGGTTATGTTAATCTTTCTCTAAATTTAACTCATTATAAAAAGACCAGAAGTTTTTACATCGTGCATGAACTCTGCGTATAAGAAGGAAGATGTCAAGAGAATACGATGTATAATTATCTAGTAATCCCTTTGTG